ATAGAATAGAATAGAATAGAATAGAATAGAATAGAATAGAATAGAATAGAATAGAATAGAATAGAATAGAATTCTTTATTGGCCAAGTGTGATTGGACACACAAGGAATTTGTCTTTGGTGCAAATGCTCTCAGTGTACATAAAAAGAAAAAATACATTCATCAAGAGTCAAGAATCATAAGGTATAACACTTAATAATAGTCATAGGGTACAATAAGCAATCAAATCATATTAGGAAACAGTCAATATAAATCGTAAGGGTGCAAGCGACAAAGTTACAGTCATACAGGTTTAAGTGGGAGGGGATGGGGGATAAGGAGTGATGAGAAGATTAATAGTAATAGTGCAGATTTGGAAATAGTTGGACAGTGTTGAGGGAATTATGAAATGAGATGTCTACAGGAAGCTAAGCAAACTCAGAGAACACCAACTGATAAGCCATGTTAGGGATTTCAATTTTAATATAAGTTATTTTGAGCTTTTATTTCATAATGGAAGATACAGTCTGCACACTTTCACTTGTGATCTTCAAGATTTGATCTATATTTAGAGAAAGGTCTGCAACTCACTGTGGCTTATTCTTATAACATTACATTGCAAAATACGTTTACATTTCATCCAGGTGATTTTTATCACAGCCATGCTGCATATTCCAGTAAATTCATCACATTATTTTGTGACAGGCGAGAAAGAAATTGACAATCACTCACATGAAAGGAATGAAATCAGGGAATGAATATCAGGAGTTCTTAATTAACTTCCTTTTTCCTCTATCTCAACAGTCATGCAAAAGATAATAGAATTATCTGTTAAAGCCAGAGATGGGTGGAGTAGGGACTTCTCTAGAGAAAGAAAGAGAGCAGTTTAAAAGAAGATAGATGCCACTTTGTTTTGTGATGGGCTTGGTCATTTATTTCATTAATTACAAAATGTAGTAACAAAACATCCTTCTCAGTTCATAACTTCTTCCACTGTAGTGCTTAAACACAATAACTATATACTTAAAATATGGAAATAGGCAACCATTTAATTTACATCATTTCCCCATTAATACACCATTTGGCTGGTCTCAGCATACAGTCATGCTGGCCACATGAGTTAAATACAACCCAGTAGGGATTGGTTGGTTGGTGTCCTACTGTAATGTCTTTCTAGGGGTGTCTCATCTCAATAGGAGAAAACCAAGTTATATCCTGTAGGCTTTGCTCTACGTCAAAGAAAACTTCACTTCACCAATTGGCAAGAGTGATTTAAGGA